GTCTGTCAAGCTACACTCTGTTCTGCTTCTGCAGAACTGTGGCAAAAGCACAGAATGAGCACATCAATTAAGTATGAAATATCAAGATAAATACATGAATAAAATATCTAGCATTCAGATAAACTTCCAAAAGCTACTCCTCAGCAGTGAAATGCCATTAAATCCTTTAGGAACTCATTAATAGTTTAACATTTGGAAGAGTAATTACAGTGAGAGTTGAATTCAAATTAAATAAAAATAAAAAGACAAATTATATATTTAATAATCCTACTGAATGCTTGATGAGAATCAATATAATAAAATATTAGAGGCAACAAGTCAACATTGAGGTGGCTGTTATTAAAAGGCAATGAACATACATGCACATAAATATAACCACATGGTAGAGATATTTAACACATGTATATTAGTACTTCATAAATTCTGTATATACTACTATATTTTTAAGGATAAAAGGAATATATTAAGATGAAATAAGGGATCTACATGAGGTCAGAGTTGATACTTTAGTGCCAATAAACTAAATCCTAAACCAAATTGACTGTGTTAAACCTTGTAAAAATGAATTTTTAAGCATTGCCCCTACTCTTTATGAAGATTCAAATGTACTTTCAAATAATTTAATATAATGAGCATCTCTTTTAATGATTTGTGATATATATCAAAAGAAAAGGAAATGGTATGATAGAGGAGGGGGTCGTGTGCACTAATTAACAACATTTTCGGCAACAACTCTTTTTAGGCATACTCCTTGAACTGTGTAAGTCCATGTTAAAGTTAATATTAGAGTTATTGAAGATAATTTTACTAATTGCAGAGAGGGATTTGGTCGTGTGTTAGAATGTATCAATTTTGGAAATCTCTCTCCTTTGCTGTTTTGAATCTGAAGACACTTCTACAGTGTTTCAGAGGAGCTACAGCTGTTTTTGATGGGGCGGGAATGAAATACGTGAAGAGTAACAGGGTTGTAAAAGTCATAAAAGCCCCATAAAATGAAGTCATCAATGAGTAAAAATGATTGGGGTTTTAGATTTATAATTTTCCTATTTAAATGTCCTTATTGGTTTGTTGCAAATACTGTTAACCCTGTATTTGGCAAATGGTGAGGACATTATCATTTGTGTTTTCATTTGTAATAAAATTAGATTAACTTGCTGTGAAATTTTAACTAGGCTGAGACACAACAGTAGCCACCTAATGAACCACAGCACATTGCAGTTAAGTAGCTAAATTAATGTATACTGATTACAGGGCTGAAAAATGGGTCTGTTTACTTGCAAAGAATAAATTGTTCATAGAATTATTCATTATTTTAGGAGATATTAAACATTACAGTTCCACACAGATTACAAAAAAAAAAAAAAAAAAATCCTACCTAATTCTTAACCAGTACGAGACACCTGATTCATCTTGTGTGGTTTACATGGTCAAAAAAGCCTGACCTTTGTGCTGTCTTACAGAAATAATAATGAACTGAACCTTGATTGATTTTGGAAAGTGCAGGCCACAAAATTTTACAGCAGAAATATTGCGTCTTGCAAAATGTTACTGTCACTCTTAACATTCACTCTCTAAATCGTGTTCTCAAAGTTAGCTTATTGTTTCACATAATATGCTGTTGAAATGTCAAAGGAAGAGTGTAAGAGTAAACTAATTAAGTTCATATTGTTTTACCATATGTTAATTTTACACATGTTGGGGGAATCCCTTATTACAGCATTGTATTTTTTCTCATTATTCATAGCCTTTTCTATTATTTATATAGATGTCCTTTCATTTTTTTATTTAGAATGAGCTTTCATTTTTCATTAGGCAAAGTGTGCAAGACCAAGTATCATTGTCAGTTGGATTCAAAAATTTTTCATTTTTATTATGGTAGCATGTATTGCTATAAGTGTGATTCCTGTTTGCCACTACACAGTGATTTTTGTGTCTTCAATTTTGTTTTATCACAGTAACTGCCAAACTTTGTCCCTGTCCATTCATTCAAAGGTCAGAGTTACATATAGTTCATTGAATTACACATTTTTCAGCAAATTTCCAGTGTTAGAGTTCAAAGACAAATACTGAATGCCCTACATTTTATGTACATATTTTGGCACAGAATGAATGAAACACAACAATAAAAGACAAAAATAATTTGACCTCATATATAAAATTCCTTTCATTGATGTGTGTGTGCACACATTTAGAGAACATGTTTTAAAACATTATAGTTTAGGATGAATTTCACAACTGATTGCTAGTCTTTTAAAAAGTGAAAGGATGTGGTATGAGGATTAAATAGATCTTGCTGTCTATCCCCATTACCATCCCTCCTAAGTATGAGTAGAATTATTGGGGGAAAAAACTTGATACTTTTCTCCTCCTTTGCTTGTGTATTTCTTTTGATTTTACCTTGCATACATTGGGTGACAAGTATGTATTTTCCTGCATACTAAATATAAATGAAATGTATCAGTTTACTACTCTGTTTTAAAACATTATTTTTAAGGCACGACATCTATAAAGTCCTTAAAATGTAATATAAATGAAAATTATCAGTATTTAATTAGCATATACTACTATAGCTAATAAAATGTACTATTAATTTCAGTAAAGTTATTGAATGCTAATAAAATGTTAAATAATAATGTAAAACACCACTTAAAAATGAATATATTACATTGATTACTGTATTATTGTTCTATTGCTATTATAACAAATTACCACAAATTTCATGGCTTAAAACAATTCAAATTTATCATCTTAGAGTTCTGTAGGTCAGGAGTCACACATGGGTCTCACAGGGCTAAAAGCAAGGTATGGGCAAGGCTGCGTTCCTTTCTCTAGGTTTCTGGGAAGAATCTGCTTCTCTGCCTTTTCCAGCTTCTAAACACTATCCACATTTCTTGGCTCATGGCCCTCTTCCTCCATCTTCAAAGCCATCACTGTTGCATCTCTCTGACCATTTTTCTTCAATCATATCTCCCTCTGATACTCCTTTTCTGCCTTTGTTTTTCACTATTAAAGACTCCTGTATGAGGGCAAATGAGCATAAAAAAAGAACCCTTGTGATCAGATTGGGCCCACCAAAATAATCCAGTATAATCTCTCTATGTCATATTTCTCAGTCATATCTCCAAAGTGCCTTTGGCCACGTACAGGCAAGAAATTCATAGGTTCCAGTGATTTGGATGTGGATTAGAGATAACATCAGAAGCCTGCCACAATGGCAAGCATTGCAATATGTTCACTATTACTAATGAAATAATAACTTTTAACTCTCTTGCTAATATTTTTGCATTAAACAAAAACAAGTTTTCTTTGGGTGATTTATAAATTTTGGGCTTCCCATGCAAAATCAGTGTGAAAATGTACAAGCAATTATTTGACAAACTAATTCTTAATGTTATGACGATTAGAATAGTGATGTGATTACAGGTAATTAGAACATTTAATTTAAGGAATTTATTATGGATTAATTAAATATTTTATAGAACAAACATTCTCTGTTCCAGCATGTCTATAACCCAGTTACATTTATTGCATATATGCATAAACCCTGCAATTTTATTCTTTTATTGATCAAATTAACTTAATTGTTCAGATTTATTCACCAATTTGTGATGCAAATAGTGAATAAATTCAGTGTTTTACAGCAATTTTCATAATCACAAATGTCTTGAGAGCCATAATAGTTACTATAGAGGTATGTAAAAACATTTGATTTTTTTTTAATTTAAGCATATTATGGGGGTACAAATGTTAAGGTTACGTATATTGCCCTTCCCCCTCCCTCGAGTCAGAGCTTCAAGCATATCCATCCCCCAGATGGTGTGCATCACACTCATTATGTATGTATATACCTATCATCTCCTCCCCCCCACCCGCCGCCACCTGCCGCCACCTGCCCAACACCTGATAAATGTTATTCCTATATGTCCACTTAGATGTGAAACCAATTTGCTGGTGAGTACATGTGGTGTTTGTTTTGCCATTCTTGGGATACTTCATTGAGTAAAATTGGTTCCAGCTCTATCCAGGAAAACACAAGAGGTGCTATATCACCATTGTTTCTTACAGCTGAATAGTACTCCATGGTATACATATACTACATTTTATTAATCCACTCATGTATTGATGGGCACTTGGGTTGTTTCCAGATCTTTGCAATTGTGAATTGTGCTGCTATAAACATTCAAGTGCAGGTGTCTTTTTTATAAAGTGTCTTTTGTTCTTTTGGGTAGATGCCCAGTAGTGGGATTGCTGGATCAAATGGTAGATCCACTTGTATCACTTTAAGGTATCTCCATATTGCTTTCCACAGACGTTGAACTAGGTTGCATTTTATTTTTATTAAAGTTCATTATTGAAAACTACAAAAATCTAAGGAATACTATGGGATTGACATTGATAGATACTAGTGTGAGTTTGAAAAACCTATCATTGTGTCCTATGACTATCAAAATGTTTTTTTGGCAAAATTCAACTTGAATTTGTAAGGTCTAATAGATTGCAGGAATATTATTTTCATAATTTTTGTCTGTGCGGAAAAACTCAACATGTACCAGATGCTACTGGTAATGCCTAAATTCAAGATCTCAAGTCTTTACATTTGGAAATTCTCCTTCTTAATCAGATAATGGTATCACCTTCCAGTCTTTGGCATGAACTTTACATCAGTCTAGAAGCTTTTAATAACAATAACATTCACTACACACCTATGTTGATAATAATTTATGAATTTTCTGGGAGAGGAAACAGAAACTAATTTTTCTTGAGCCTCTACGATGTGCCCCTTTGCCACCTTCTCTTATTTAACCGTCACAGCATCTCATTAATTTTGAAAGAACCAAAAATATGTTTTTGTCCAAAGATATGTATTTAAGGCCAGGCATTGTATATGTTCACACTTTCAGGATAAGTAAGAGGTCAACATTTTAAATGTTATGGACTCAGCCAACATGAAAAAATTGATGTACATAGGGCATTTTCTTTTATGTTTCTTTTTGTTTCAGGAGCGGATCCCAAAGAGTCCTTCTCCTGCTCCTTCTCTGGAAGAGGGTCATCACCCTGAGAGCCAGACCTCTTCTCATCCCAGCAGCAGTGTGTCCAGCTCTCCCTCTCAGATGGATCATCATTCAGAGAGAATGGGTGAGTATCTTTCTTAAAACAAGTAATTGGAAGATACTCTCAAAAAATGTACCATTAGGCAACAGAGAGGGGAGGAAAAAGCTGGGGGAACAAGACCTCCTTAATATGAATGGCTTTTTGAAGTGGTCTCAAAAGTTTTACACCATAGACACCATTCCAGAAATTGGTGATGACATGGCATATTGGAGACTTTAACCTAGCCACAGGTCTGGAACTAACTAGCTAAGACATCTTGGATATGTCATTTAACCACCAGAGGTTATTTTATCTATTATGCAAATAATTACTGCGCTGCCTAATGTACTAGATTATTGAGAGATCAAATGAAATAGTATATGGAAAACCTTCAAAAGTTGAATTGCTAAGGAAATGTGAGGGATAAAAATTACTTTTCTCTGTGTGACTTTAGTTTGATTGCTTATCATCTCCTGCTGTCTGTCTGATTCTACTCAGGTATATAGAAGTTACCAGGTGCATTCAACTGTAACAAATTCTTATTTAGTATATAATAATTATGGATCAATTGAGCTAGGTAAAATCTTTGTTAATCTTCCATACCTATACAATCTGAGTTCTTATGTATCCGTTTCCTTTAGAGACAATCTCTGCTATTCCTTTAATCTTACCATGAGAATGTTCTTTAAGTGAACTCTAAATTTTTACAGCTCATAATAGAGATTGCTTCCAGCCTCTCCAAAATAATGTGCTTTGTGGGGGAGGAGAGCAATTTGTGGGATTTGGGAAGGTGTCAGGTTGTTAGGTCTTGGATTTGTGCTTGCAAGGAGGAAGATGATTTCTCCCTTGTGGAAATTCACCCAAGTCTCACTTAACCTGTAAATATTATATATGGTGTCTGGCTGTTTATCTTCATAGTGAGCTCAATGGTTCTTAAATCTGGCTGCCCATTATATTCACCAATAGAGTTTTTATAATTACAGATGCTCAAGACACACACTCAGAGTTTGATTTTCTTGGTCTAGAATAGAGCCTAGGCAAGAATATTTTCTTTTACTTTTCCATATCTTCTCAAGAGATTTTAATGTGCAAGCAGGGTTAAGAACCATCAAGTTAGAGCTTAAGGCTAATGGCCCTGAGGGAGTAAGTTTAATTCCTGGAAGAGGTGACAGAGGTCTTCTAACTTTACTCTGTTCTGTGGCACCGACTACCTGGTTGATACAACATTGTGTACAAGTTATTCAAGGCAGTCCGAGCAACACAAGAGGCTATAGCTGGATGACCATTAATTAATCAAGAAACCAAAGCACACATTCTTCTGTTAGGACAATCTTTGTATTGATGAGGGTAGAAAGAGGGAGAAAGAGAGAGGAAAAGGATATAGAGAGATTTATTTATTGAGTGCTAGCTGAAAAATATAATGCATAGGAAAAAATAGTGATGGATATATATTATAAGAGAATGGGTAACTGACATTTAGAAGTGAAATCGAATATTTCCAAAGCAATATAATATCCTAGAAAAAAATCTTTTCAACATAGTTTATTTGTAATTGCACTGGCAGTAATTAGGCTCTATATGCTCATGCCACAGTTGTATATGTATGATAGTGTGATTGTCTATAAATGAATAAAACAGTTTGATGTTTAACTTTTAAGTGACCATCTTTTATTAATAGAACTACATAGTGTTTTAATAAAATATGATTAAAGATAATGAAATTATAAATTGAAAATTAGCATGTCTTTTTCCTTTCAATGTAAATGTTTTATGAAGAATCATAATAATCAGAAAATTATATTTTATCTATTAATCTTGATATATATCATATTTGTAAATGATTCTACAGAGTAAGTTAAATTCATAATTAATTTTAACTCATGATCTATTAACTAGTAAATTCTTTTTATAAGCATTCTGAGAAATATGTTATAAATTATGGAGATAAATAATTTGCACATGAAATTTAAAAGAGGAAACATTTTAAATGCTTTAAAGAAATGATATTGTCAATTATATACATATATATGTATATGTGTATATATATACATATATACATATATATGTATATATGTATGTATATATGTATGTATATATGTATGTATATATGTATGTATATATATGTATGTATGTATATATTATTTATACTTTAAAATTCAGATGATTAAGCAGCTTAATGATTTCTAAATTATATGACCTCTGGACTAACAAAAATCTTTCTATTGTTTCAGAAGTAGAAGTAAATAAAATTAATGTTCTTTGTTATTAGATAATATTAGCCATTTGTATAATGCTTTTCTGCCTTTTTTGAATATTTTACATAGAAAATTACTGTTATATCTCTTATCTATAGTTATGATGCCCAACAATAGAGAGGAAGCTATTGTTGATCAGGATAATGGACCAACCATCAAAAAATTCCAAAGAAATAATAAAGGTAAAATGATTTTTGCTTATTTGATGTACATATAATAATCAGATACTAACTCACTTAATATCCCAATGTTGTGTATCGCATCTACATTTCCCTAAGTCGGAATAAATCTATACTGGCTTTGTATAAATGTTTTTAGTAGTAAAAAACATGATGTTTACTCGAAACTTGATTATTTGGTGTTATAAATTACATATTGACATAAAATTTGTGCATGTGGTTAGAAAATTCACCCTAAGCCCTTTTATTATGTCTGTTCAGAAACATGTGACTCTTTTTGTATTATATATACATTTTATTAAATATGTTTAAATAATTGACTATGTGGTGGTATATTTGACAAAAACTGAGTTGCTGTAATGGAGAGATCTACTTCCCTCAACCCTTGAAAATGATTTTTAAAAGTATATGCTAATTTGGACATTTCAAATGAAAGCTTAGCAAGTTAATCCATAAAATATTTACCTGGAATATTGGTAGATAAGATCTCAACCTGGCTTTTGATCTGCTGAGGTACATATATTACCTCTGCACACTATCCAGTTTTGTCTTAGGATATCTGTTTAAAGAAGGTAGGAGAGTAAGAATTTCAAAGTGATGCTCTCCTGATCTGAAAGCCAAGTACAACTTTGTTTAAAAAGCTAAAAAGGTAAGAAAACAGGAAAATATATAATCATACAGCATAGATTATGCATTATTGCTGTCGCCATTGTAAATTAAACAGTAGCTAACATAATTTATCAGATCACCAGATGGTCTGCTTGTACTTCACCACAGGGTACATTTTTCTGTCTTTATTATCTATATATTATGAGCAAGATCCAAGATATATAGATAGTAGAGATAGACAAATGCTCATAATATATAGAAAATAAATGCTCATAATATACTAAAGATGCCCATAATATATACAGAAAAGAATGTAAGAGTTAATGGAGATTTTTTTCATTTTTCTTTGGACTTAATTTGCTTCATAATTATCTACATGAACATTTTAGTTAGAATTTGGAATAATATATGATTTTAATTTCATTGATCCATGATTGGTTTCCTTGTCACATGTTTAGTCTTTTCTTAGCCTGACACTGAAAGGCTGTACCCACTGAAGCTCCAAGATGCAAATGATTGATTTCAGAATAGTCAGAATGAAAGAAGTCAGGTTCAGTATATTAAACTTCCAAAACTCTTGCAAAGGTATTGAAATTGTAGTTAAAGATGAAACTTCATTCATAACCCAGCAACAATTTGTTCCTGAGACCTCTTGCCTATCAAGTCACAACTATTTGAAGGACAACTTGGTAGTAAAGCAGCCTTTCTAGGAAAATCTCAAGCTGTAGATGACACACATGATTCCCTCAGAACTGCAAACCCCATAAGTCAAAATGGCATTTAGGACTGGCCTGTGTACTGCAGCATTCAAGTATACACTGTTGTGTCTTATGAAAAATCAGCTGGACCACAGTACAGATGTACATTAACTGATTTTCATAAAATACACAGTGGTATGTACTGGCATTTCTGAATCTCTTGCTGTGGAATGGCACAGTTTTACTCATTTCAATCAAATAGGTTAGTCACACATCCTGATGAGGACATTAATAAACAGGAGTGGCATATTAAACTGTACCACAGCTATAGTAGAAAATTTCTTTTTAAATGGGATTTTCTGTGTCACATCCTACCAGTTATATTTGTGACAGTAAGATAAAATATATTTTCCTCAAATAGATCATAGTTATTAAAAGGGAATGAGTTACAGTATAAGTCACAATATTTATTAAGTGTGACAAGTAAGCAGTTTATACAACTGTGGCAAACATATGTTTTCACATCTGTTTTGAGTAATATCATGATTTTAAAAATGATTTATAGCTCTGGAAATTATAAAATGCTAGATTTGCTATTATAAAGAAATTTTTAGAAAATGAAGAAATACCATTAGAGTGTTGATGTAGCCCACCCATTACTGCACCTTGTAAAATTGGGTTAGTGCAATACATGTCTCAAATGATAATATGCATTTTACATTGGATTTTAATATGTAGATATGTAAAAGTCTATATGATCTCGGCTTTCTTGGCAGTGATGTCCATTTAGACTATATCCAAAATGACTTACCAAATTAAAAATTTTAATTTTGGATCAAGTATTTTGATTAAACTGACTGGTCAAACAAACATTTGATTTTATTTTTTCAAAGACTTTGTCAAATAAATTGACTAAATCAATTTCATGTTATGACATTCTGTTACATGGTCTTTTACAGTCAGTTCTGGGATTCTTTAGAGTAGAGTAATTGGAACTATCCACTCCAGTTTGCCCAGGAAGATGTAATGACGCAAAGCAAAACCCCCTTCCCTTGGCAACAACTTGTCTCCCAAACTGGTAGCAGAAACAGGATCTTTTTGATATTTTTGCATTGTGTATTCAATGTATTTATTGAAAACTTTCTATGTTCAAGATGCCCAAAACACACTGATAATTAAATCTGGTATGCTATAGAAACAGTGGAACAATTAATTTATCATCCACCCCATGAATTGAGCCCAGGGAATTATTATATTTTAAATCAACCTATAGGCCACAGATGAACAGCTGCTAATAGTTTTAACATCCTTTTTATCATAAGAATCTAAAGTATATCTTACCTAGAATAAAAATACTGTCATATTTCTTTTTTGTGTAGTTATTTTTTATTAAAAATAAGGATGAAATATAAAAAAAAAATAATGGTCCTTTGAAATCCTGCTGTACCAAAATAAGAAAAATCAGTATGTTATTGCTCATCTGTTCATAAATCTCTTTATATATGGGTATACGCATATATACAAATATTATTAAGCTATCTCTTTCTTATTGTAGATATTACAATACCATCTTTCATTTTTTTTTCCATTCATGCAAACTGGAACAAATTTCAGCTTAGAGGAGGGTTTTTGCTACATATTGGCACAATGATAATGTAAATATTCACTATTCAATCAGATAATTCTCTTTCTTTATGTGTTCCTTAGACCATTGTAGGTACTACACTAAATCTTTCAGACCTAGTGGCAGTTTAAACTATGCAGGTGTTTGGAAATGATTATTGACCCTGTTTTAAATGGGAATATATCTTCTGAATATTATATTTTTTAAAACATGAAAGACTATTGTATAGGACCAACTAAAATACAAACATCATTACAGTCTTTATAATGACATTAAATATATAAAGGAATATGAAGGATACAATTTTGTACATTTTATGGTATTCAGTGACTATATATTAAAATGAGAGAAACAAGGAACATAACTTATTGGAGAGTTTCTTTGAATTACCTTCATTTTAAAACTTTATTATTTAGAAACAATTGTAGATTTAAAAGTTGCAAGAAGAAAACAAACAGAGAGATCCCTTATACTCTTCACCCAGTTTCTTCCAAAGGCAGTATCTTATATAACTATTGTACAATATCAAAATCAGGAAATTTACATTGCTATGATCCACTTGTCTTATTCAGATTTCACTAGTTTTACACTCACTAACTCACTGTCATGTGTGTATGCTTTTATGGAATGTTATGACATATGTAAATTTGTGTAACTACTACTACAATCAAGATATAGGATTATTCCATGACCACAGAAATGTCTCTCCTGCTATTCCTTTATTGTCTCAACCACCACGACCCCTTCAAGATCTCTAATTCCTGAGAACCACTAATCTATTATGTCTCTGTAATTCCATCATTCCAAGAATATTCTATAAATGGAACCGTACAGAATGTGACCTTTGAAGATTGGCTCTTTCACTTAGCATAATTACTTGGATATCTGTCCAAATTGTTGCATATGTCAACTTCCCTTCTTATTGTTGAGTAGTATTCAATAATATGAATATGCCACACTGTGTAACCATTCATACATTGTAGGACATCTCATTATTTCCAGTTTGGGGCTATTATGAATAATGCTTCTGTGAATTCTCATGTATGGGTTTTTGGGTGGATGTAACTTTCCATTTCTATGAGACAAATACCAAAGAATGCAATTGCTGAGTCATATGGAAAATAAATGTTTAGTTCCATAACAAACTTTCAAACTATTTTCCAGAGTGGCTATACCACTTTATTTTCCCATCATCAATATATGATCATCCAGTTTGTCCATATATTCACAGCATTTTATGTTGTCAATATTTTATTTTTAATTTAGATGCCCTCATAGTTGTGTGTAATGATAGCTTATTGTGGTTTTAGTTTATATTCCCTGATGGCTGGTGATATTGAACCTCTTCTGTGGATGTCCTCTTTGGTGAAATGTTGCTCATGTCTTTTGCCAATATTTGAGTTGGTTTGTCTGTTTTCTAATTGTTGAAGTTTGAGAGTTTTTTATATACTCTAGATACAAGTCCTTTATCAGATATGTGTTTTGCAGATATTTTCCCACTCTGTAGCTTGTTTGTATATCCACTTAAAAGAGTCTTCTGCAGAACAAACATTTTTAATTTTGATTAAGTCCAATTTATCATTTTTTCTCTTATGGTAATTTGCTATAAATTCTAAAACCTTTTTACTTGGCCCTAAGTCCTGAAGAATTTCTCCTATGTTTTCTTTTATAAGTTTTATAGTTTTACCTTCTATATTTATGATCATGATCTCAAGGTTGAGTTTCTTTTTTATTTCAGCATATTATAGGGGTACAAATTTTAAGGTTACGTATAATGTCATTGCCCCCTCCCCCCTCAAGTCAGAGCTTCAAGTGTGACCACCCCCCAGACGGTACACATCACACTCATTATGTATGTGTATACACATCCCCTCCTTCCCCCTCCCACCTGCCTAATACCTGATAAATGTAATTCCTATGTGTCCACTTAGGTGTTTATCAGTTAATACCAATTTGCTGGTGAGTATATGTGGTGCTTATTTTTCCATTCTTGGGATACTTCACTTAGTAGTATGGGTTCCAGCTCTATCCAGGAAAACACAAGAGGTGCTATATCACCATCAATTCTTAGA